CTTGTTTACCATTCCTCTGGTTAAATACTAAGTAATATTGGCATTTTATAAGCAATACTTATGCAACTGACCCTTGAAAACACCAACTTGAACTACCTGCCTGTAGATCTTATTCCATCTTGGAGTTCCACATTCACAAGTGTCAACTAGCTATAAGTGTTCATTGACCGAACCTGAGGATGTAGAACCCAAAGGAAGATTTGGAGCACTGATTATAAATGATACCTGGATTTTTGACTCAGGGTGAAGGCATCAGTGTCACCAACCCCCAAGTTTTTCGAGAGTCAATGGTATATGTTTTTCCATGTTACAGATATTGTCTGTAATGAAATTAGATGTAAAAATAAAGATAAATGCCTTGATTGAAAGGAAGGCTAATATTTCTATGGACTATAATTTATATTTTATCCTAGTCTTAAGCCAACAAGTCCGAGTTCACTTGTTAAAAAGTTTCAGAATTTTTGGTTACATAGTGATCTCAGTTGGAAAACTCTCTACTAGAGGGCTGTGGATGCTTTGTTCATGGGGGTGGGATGGTAACTACATCTGAAGGGGGAGATCCCACACTATCCAAACACTAACAAGGATGTAAAACATGATACTTCTGTATACACAAAGAAACTGCTTCTGTTTACATTCTTTACTATCTATATTTTACAGCATTTATCTCATGCATTTAGCGCTATCTATATTTTATAGCATTTATCTCATGCTTCCTTAGGCAAAATAAATGGATTTAAAAAGTGAGGTAGATAAAACTTTGTCTTAGTAATAAGCTAAGGCCCTCCTAACAATGTGGAAAATAGCACTCGCCTAAATAGTAAAGGTATTATCAAAGAAATTTCATTTGCACAGTAAGATTCTATTTATACATACTACTTTAGTGGCAAAAAAAAATAAAAACTGCAGGTCTAGAATCCTGAACAATTCTGCTCTTCTTCCTGAAATATAGTGCCCTTTGTCTTCTGCAATTCATAATCCACTGGTGTCGTGAAACATTGATGAGGGGAAGCCAGTGCCAGTGATAGGGTCCTGTTAGGCCCAGTTTCCCAAGAAAGGCAGATCATATTTCATGGGTAAAAGTGTCTCTAGTAACAGGAGGTGCCTTGCAACAAACCTATTAGTACTTTCTCTTCTCCTAATATGATTCATGGGTCATTTATGAAATTGTTGTATAAATGCACAAATTTTATTATTTATTTTATTAATGAGGGAACCAGCAGGGAAACTGTTGGTTCTAAAAGCAAAGGATTAAAGAATGAGAAGTGATATAACTAGTGGGGAAAGAAATGCTGAAGCAAATTTACCAACTTCTATACAAGACTTTGTTCAACTTTTACAAGACAGTAGGATTATATCACCTTCAGGGGTAACTTTTCTACCAGTCTGTAACACTTGAACAAGTTTTCCATTCTAAAAGGCTATAGACCATCTGTGACTTTATATTTGTTAATCAAATATATTGTTGAATGGTGGTCCTCAATGGTGGTGTAGGTATATCTACATCCCAAGCCCTGGAAGTTGTGATACTCAATCTCACTTTTGGTTCCCATTCTTTCTTACTTGATTCAAAGGATTGGGAGAAGATAATTGTTATGGTAGAGCTCAGAGAAGAAGGGAAGATGATCTCACCCACTATAGTCATTAGGCCTGGGCCACCTGGGAGGGAAGGGCTGAGGCCTGGCAATCCTGGATTTGCCCTCCTCAGCACCCCTCCCTTCCGACCACAGGCACCTCTCCAAAAACCTGGCCCCTGTGTTGTTCATCAGCCTTACTCTCAACTGGGTACCCCACTAGAGCACCCTGCAGCCTTTACCTCCCCGACCCCAGGTTGTAGGGTTTGTCAGCCTAGACCTCTGCCACTCTAGGCAACAGGACAAAAACAAATCACCTTTCAATTCCTGCAAGCTCTCCCTGGCCTCGTGGATTGGAGGAAAACTTGACAGAGTACACAGCTATCTTCTGGGATTAAGAGAAAGAAATACAGGATTTTATTCATTGATATACTCACACAATCAATTTTCAAATAAATGTTTATTGACAATGGAAGAAATAATAGGGGTCCTGTAATGAGTATATCAGGAAGGAGAGCACACAAATTATTATTTCAATAAATTAACCTTCCCAAGTTCATTAAAGCAAAGTCTAAGACTGTTGCTTATAGATAGCTTCATTATATTTTCACACTGCAGTATTTTTGAAAACTTTTCTTTTTTAAGATTTATTTATTCATACAGAACTGGGGTACAAGTCAGAAGTGCAGGGGTGGTGAGAGACTTCACCAGAGACAGAGCTGGGAGCAGAACAGGCAGATTGATGAAGTACACTACTGAGGGGAGCAGAGGGTGGGTCAGGAGAGGTCTGCCGTGCCATGTGGTTCACCTCTAGGGCCGGGGATCGAACTCACACTGAAGTGGCTGCAGCCAGCTTATAGTGCTGCGTCCTAACCCATAGCGCCAACAGGGAGGGCCCAATTTTTGAAGGCTTTTTAGCTGACTCCCTCACCCAAGCTACAGTCTCTGAGAGACAGATTTTTCTATGTTTTGCATCTTTCTAAAGTGGTCAGTTGAGCACAACCTCCAGTGAAAAACAGTAGAGTACATGAACAGGCCCTGAAGCACCAACCTTACCACTTACCACCAGCTGTGTGAATTTGGACAAGTGAATTAAGCAATCTGTGCCTCACTGTCATGGAGTTGACAATACTTACCTGAATGTAAAAAAAAAAAGAGCATCTGGCATGTGCTATTACTATTATGTAATAATAAATGGCAGGGGTAGTCCTTTTGAGGCCATGATGGTGGAGAAAGAATGAAAAGTTGCTGAGCTATATAGATGATAAGTGCTAAGTGAGGAACAAGCTTTACTTTAGGACATTAGTTTCCACAAATGACAGCTTGTCAAAATCCCTAGAGGAGATTTTTGAGCCTGTGCCCAGGTCCCATCTCCAGACGTTCTTATTGGTGTGGGTGAGACTGGACTACTAAGTATGAATAGTTCCTCAGAGGCCAGGGATCCCTGCAATGGTGCAGTTAACACCAGGATGTTGGAACCTGCTCTTGCTCTAAAAAAGGGGAGTGCGGTATTATTTAATGGGTCTATTTTGCTTTGATGAACACGGAAGGCTAATTTACTGAAACTTTTTTTTTTTTTTTTTTCCTTCTGAGTGTATGCAATGTACTCCTCATATTTCCTGCAAACAGTACCTACTCCATTCAGGAAAGCTGGTGGAGGGAGAGACCCTACAAGCCTCTCCTCCCACCCCCTGAGGCCTAGCTGCCTTATCAGTGCAATCCTTCACCCTGTAATCTAGCCACTCATCACTTGTCAGGCCTTGGATTAGATAGAAGGAGAACAAAAGGATCAGACAAAATCCTACCTCACGGACCTCCCACAGTAGTGCAGGAAGAAAGACAAGTCAGGCAATTATAAGCAGAAAAATCAGAAAACCTCTGAAAGCTTGCTAAACAAACAACAGGATAGCCTTACCAGAAAACCCCTGGGAAAAGAATGAGCTAGATGTCAAAGTCCTAAATATGAAAATTCTCCAAGATATATTATTGAGTGGGAAAAAGCAAAATAGCATACCGATGTTACAGAAAGTCTAGAGGTATATCTCTTATTTTCCATGATTAATTTTTTTCAAAAAGAATGTATTTGTTTTCGTGAAGTTAAAACTTAATAACTTTTATTCTATTCCAGCAGACTCTTGGGCAGGCAGGAGAAATCTTCTAAAAGTATTTGTATTTCACTAAATTGAGGTGTGTATTACAGGTATTACAGTGCCTGTTAACTGGGACAAAGCCATTGGCATTTTTGGACATGGTTTCATCTACGAGATGATTATTTTCAGAGGGCAATGTCCTGGGGAAATGGGACCTGAGACAAATATGTGCCTTGAAAAAGTAGTCAAAGGAAATAGAAACAACATGATGATCTGTACATACAAGGAGAACCTGGCAGCCTCCTTCCCACTCTGTGGCTTCCAAAGTCTCCCCAGGCTGAACTTCCTAACAAGATTCAAGTTCAAATATCAGTTCTTAGGTCTAGCCTTTGAATGCAAGCTCTCCATCCTAACTGCATACTTGAATCCTATGGGAGGCTTACTATAACATCAGTGCCTGGAACCAAGATCAATTAAAGTAGAATATTTGGAAGGTAAAGTCTGGATGTTGATTTTAATAAGACAAGGGCTGAGGGTGTTAGTGTACAACTGAGGGGACCCCCAACTTGCATGCTTTAAAGGAGTTTTGCCATCTGCCACATAAAGACAAACAGACTCTTAGTGTAAAAGAACATTACTAGGATTGGTGCATATAGAGAGAGACGAGAAGAAAGGACTATAATTTTCCAATAAAACACCCAAAGATACCATTCTCCTCCCAGGTAAATGACCAGCAAAATAGGGTTGGCCCAAAGCGGTCCGAGTCCTGAAAACATGCCAACCAAGTCTCTGATGAAAGGAGCAAAAGCTAAGTACAAACCAACACAAGGACTGCCATTGTCAACCCCACATGTCTCTCACCCACATCTCTCCAGGTATCTCTGCATGCATGCCTCAACTACACATGTCTCCTTCTGTCTTTCCCAAATCCCTAGCGTAAACCCAAAGCTGTGAAAAAACATAAATTTTCTTCACGTATCTCCCTGTTTCAATCTCACCCATATCTCCTGCTCCAAGTCTCTTCTAGCTCCCCTTGCCTCGCCACACTTCGTTAGGTAGGTCAGGGAACATGGAACATCTCCCTTTTTATGGAGATTCCCTCTCTGTAATAAGACCACTGTAGGAAAAAATGCATGGCTGATCACACACATTGTGTGTTACCATCACAATTTGAACAACATCATGCTTGAAAAATATTTCAAAAATAACATCTATTGCACTTGCTTTTTAAAGTCAAAAATAACATCAATTGCACTTGCTTCTTAAAGGAAAATTATTTGTATTTTTGTATTATGTGATCCTAATATTATAACACCATGTGTTGGATTTATTTCAGGCTCGACTGACCAAAGAACAGCGCTGGGGAAGTGCATTACTTTCCAGAAACCACTCCTTAGAAGAAGAATTTGAAAGGGCAAAAGCAGCAGTGGAGGTAACATTTTTGTTTGTTTTTCTGTTTCACATTTCTGAGAGTGGAATTGAAAATATCAGACTTCAGCAGGATATATGTGGAATGGGTCTTGCGTTATAGACAGAAATCACAATGATTAAAATTGTTAGAATGAAAGCTGTTGTTATCAGAGAACTCTTGACTTCCTACCAGAAGTGACTAATAGATGCCAATCTCTCACAATTTTGTGATAGGTGCAGTGGCTCTAGAAGAGAACACTGAACTGAACGTTATTCCATGATGAATATTTGACCACTTCTTATGCCTGTTTCTGTATCTAATACAGTGTTTGAAACATAGAAAGTCTTGTTACCTCTGAGGTATTATGCATTTATATTGTATATGTACGTATTTTACAAAATATGTTAATGGACAATCCATCTTTATTTGAGCCATAGATATTTCACCATTGAGACCATTCAAAACAATGTTGGTAAGTTCAATAAATTACTTTATTTGAACACCAATTTCCTTATTTGACCCTTAGAAAGAAAAAAGCAGGGAAGCAAGGGGAGAAAAAGTGTCTTTTGCTGTTCCTTATCCATTTCCTTCCTGGTTGAAATCACAGAGTAGCACTACGCTGTCTATGATACTCATCACAGCTTTACTAGATTGCTCTTTGAGAGAGGAGCTTTTTACTGAATCCAAATACAAACTTGGTTGGACCTCCACATCTATTACTGATGTGAAATCTTGAAAACAAAGTATTCTTTCAATATGGCTCATTTATGTGGTTCTTTTACCACTAGAATATGCATGTAATTATTAAACTATGGGCAGTCTTTAAAAAACTCCATACTTGAAGAGCAATTAAATCCTATTTGTAGTTTAATACTAAGAAGAATTCTTTATATTCTAGGAAATAATTCCAGCCATAATTTCTTATCATCATTCAGAAACTCAATAAGAGGACACTTTTATCTCATTGCAATAAAATCCATCCAAATGTCCTCTTTTAATTTTAAACTTTTCTAATTAAAAAAATAAGTTAATGCATATTTAGTGCTCTTGAATGTAATCTACTGCTATATTTCATTGATACCAGCTCATTTCAATCAAAATGTTAAACTTCATGGAAGCTGTAGCTCAATTTATCTTTAAAGTAGATTTTTCCAGCCCGAAGAGCTCATTTAAATTTATCTTTTGAACCCTTATTGTGCATAGCACAATGAAGTAGCACCCAAAAAAAAACGATTGCTTAGAATCATAAAATCTTGGCTAAGTGAATATATTTGAATTTATCTGGCCCAATTTATGATGAGAAAAACAATAGATTTTTCTCAAAAGATTTAATGACAAAGCAATATATCAGCAAGAAAAAAACCATCCATATATCATCTATCCATCTATTCACAAAATAATTTCATCTTGCCTTTGTTAGATACCTTAAAATCATCTATCCCAACCAAGCACACACACACACAAAAGTTTGTTTCTTTTAAGATATACATGACAAATTATCACTGTTTCTACTTGATTACTTTCATATAGGGCCAACTCACTTCTTAGAAGGAAATCTGTTTCAGTTTTGTACAGTCCTTACTACTAAAACCTCTCCCTCATTTTTGCTAAAATTAGTCTCTTGGCAGCATCAGTTTTGTTTAGACTTAATTTTGCCTCCTGTGGAATAAAGCAGAATTAGTTTAATACTCTCTACATGACCCCATTTCATCTCAAGAATCCTTGTCTTCTTGGTTCTTCAAAGAATTGACACCTGCATTTTTAATCCAACTTGTCATTAATTACTAAATGAGACATATATCCCATTAACCAATATAGATATCAACTCCTCTGTAATCCTTTCCAGTTACAAAATTCCAAAAAACTGTGTATTTCTTTAAGCAGTTAAAGTACTACAAACCCTACTGGCTGCCTAGATGTACTAGGGGCAGGACTAGGTAGAGTGTGAGGAATAAAGAAATGAAGACACCTTGACTAGGTACCTAGCAATAATGTGAACCAGATGACCAATGGGCAAATCACTTGCTCTCTCTACTTTTGTTTTGCTCATCTAAAGGATGAAGGGCTTGGTATTCTAATATGCTAAAACCTATGAGCTTATGACTTCAAGTAAAACAAATAGTATGTACAGAATTCCCAGCAAGAGGGAAAATTGTAAGCAAATTTACTCAGTTGGAAGCCTAGAATTGAGAGGCTTTGTGAAGGAATAAGGGGAGATAATTCTCATCGGAAGGTGTGAGTTGGTTTGGAGAAAACACATGAGAGGCAGTGGAGTATTTACACTAAGCTGATGATGGTAAATCAGAGCTACTGATATGCACACATTTGTAGATGATTTACTTCCAGACTTTATCCTTACCTAGGATATTTGTAAGTTTGTGGTTAAACACATAAAAAAAATGCATCAGAAAGTCTTGAAAATATATATGACTTTGACCCAACCACTTTTTAGAAGTAATCCTACAGAGGACCTCCCACCCTGATGGTGCAACAGGTTAGGACACAGCACTGCACACTAGCAGCTGCTGCTTCAGTGTGAGTTCCATCCCCTACCCCGAATGTGACCCACAGACCTCTCCTGACCCTCCCACTGCACCCCTCAGCAGTGTACTTCGTCAATCTGTCTGCTCTGCTCCCCGCTCTGTCTCTGGTGAATCCTTTCACCACCCCTGCACCTCTGGCCTGTACCCCAATTCTGTATGCATAAATAATTCTTTAAAAAGATAAAGAATTTATCCTACAGAAATAATTATGGTGAATAAAGCTTGAATAGACAAGGCTGCAATGTTTTCACTATAGGATTTTCTTAAGTAATGAAATCTGCAACAGAACTATGTTTCATAACAGACAATTAACTTGTTTCGATCCCTATGGTAAAATGCTAGTAGAAATAACATAGAAAAATATTTAAGAAATGCTATAATGTGTAGGGATGATTAAAATAATGATTTATATACTCATAGTTTTACAATATGATTCCACTTTTGTAAAATGATAGCATAACTCCTAACATGTTGATTACATGCTACATCCCAGGCACTACATCAAGAAGGTGACATGAATTATCTCATTTGCTCCTTACAGCAGTTTTATGAAAAGGGCAAAATTATCATCCCCATTTTTCAGGTGAAAAAAAATGGAGGCTTAGGGAGATTGCAACCAGTTGTGTGGTATTTTACAAGCAATTAAGACTCTAGAATCTGTATTCCAAATCATTGCACCATAGAACCAGAAAGAGTCAGTGCCCAAATGTTAGCAGATACAATTCTTGGGTGGCTACACTTAGAGTGGTTTTTATCTCTTCCATTAGCTTATCTGTTTTTTCCAAATGTTCAATCATCATGAATGTATTATGCTAGTAATTGAGAGGACAGTAACAAGTCATAGACACTGCAGTGAGATATGATTCATAAAAGAAGTAGAAGTGCCTCATTCTTTAATTCAAGACAAATTTTTAGTTCAAGACACATTTGCCTTAAAATAAAGAATGACACCACAGATTGGCATCATTACTGACAGTTCAACTCTCTAGTCAGACCCAGATGAAAATTACACCAGAAGGGAAGGGAGAATCAGGTGGTAAATCAGTTAAAAGGGGTCAATTGCATTTTAGTGGTGAACTTAATGTTGTGTATGTATATCTTGATTTGCAATCATGCACACCTGAAACTTATGTAATGTTAAAATGCAATATTCAATTTTAAAAAAGGAAGACAGGAGGAAGGGAAAGAAAGCATGACTGGGCGCCCCCTGGTGGCACAATGGGTTAAGCTGCAGCACTGCAAGCTGGCCACAGCTACTTCAATGCGAGTTCCATTCCTGGGCCCCAGAGGTGATCCACAAGGGGCACAGTAGACCTCTCCTGACCCACCCGCTGCTCCCCTACGCGTGTACTTTGTTGATCTGCCCATTTTGCTCCCCACTCTGTCTCTGATGAAGCCTCTCAGAGAGGTTTGTACCCCAGTTCTATATGAATAAATAAATAAATCTCTTTTAAAAAGAAAGAAATCATGACTAAGACAAGTTGACTCTTTCCAAAATCTCCATCTTACATTTTTATGTCATCTGATTACACAATACCTTCTCCTTTACAATCTAGTCCATTCTAAGCATTTTGTCATCATCCTTCCTCAATGTAACGATTGGTCCCCTCTCCAGCTCCTGCTAGTTCTCGGATACACTGCTTCTTCTCGTTCCTCTTACACAAGGACCTTATCTCCCACTGTCCCCTGCCTGTCATCCCTATGCTTCCTCCAAACTGTCTTCCCTCTGCAAAAGCACTCTTGGCCAGATCCTCCTGGGACAGATTCCTTCCTGTCATTCAAATTTTAGCTTGAGTGTCAAAGCCTCAGCAGAGCTAACTCTGATCACTCAATTGCTATCACAGCAACTAAAATATTATTTTTCCCCTTTTGCTTACCATTGGATCCTTTCCTGTTTATATTTCACTTATTTTTCTATTTATGTCTATCTTTCCACTTTAAATGCAACCTTCATTTAAAGTGATGAGGGACATCATCTCTCTTGCCCCACTACACCTCAACAACCAGAATAATGTCTGGCACTTACTAAGTACTCAATAAACATTTGTGAATTACTGGGTGAGTGGCTAATTTTTAATCTATTAATATGGTAACACTTCTGTCTATCTGTTGTTGCATATAAAGTGCCATATTAGCCCTAATGTAATTTAGTATCTGCATTTCTGTAGTGGTGTAAACAAATAATTCTGTCAGTGGCATGTGGATTTCTGCCAGGAACTGTACTGAAGTGTCCTCTGTGGTTTTCTTGGTCTTAATGTCAGTGAGGTACACTTATTTATAAGAATGATGGTAACAGTAACCTCCCCATGAAGTAACGTTTTATATTGTGCATGGTACAAAGTAGTTTTTACTTATATTAAGCAATAGCTGTCAACATTCAATTCAACTAAAGTTTGAACTAAAATGTCCCCTTCTCCACCACCACCACAAAAAAAAAAAAAAAAAGCGCTGGAAAAAGAACTAACGCCACATGACCTG